CACTTTTGTGATTAGCCCTCGGTCTGTAACTTCAAAATAAATTGGTAAATGCGCGCAACTTTCTCAGGGTGGCAGCACGGTCGTGGGTGTCATGGCAGCGCCCAAAAATAAAGATTTTGAAATTCAATGTTGTTTTATGACAAACGTGAATGCGAAATTATAGAAATTTGTAGGTATATGCTATTATTTAAGAATCTACTATAATAATATACCAGGGTTTCTTCTTCGGGAAAATTCGACCATTGAGGTAATGGCCAGTTTGGGGAAAAAACGCGCATGATAGATTCAAAGGCGTGCAGTAGGCACAAATGTGGATTCTGCAGGCAGACGCAGTGGGAGAGAGGTAGAGGGGGTTCTGGGGGTCTCCCCCATCAAAATTAATTTTTTTTAATGTTTCGGACTGCATCTGAGGCACCCCGCAGTCCTCGCCAAAAGCGTCGGACCGTCAGACAAAACCGGTGATTTTTGCACAGGTCCGACAAGAAATTTGGCTTTACCAGACCGTGTCTCCATTACATCAATTAATTACGCAGAGGCTACGGGTACGTCAGTACCACCCACTAGCCTAACCCTAATATCCCTGCCTATGGCTATCTTATATACGCGTGTACCAAATTAATCTATGGTGTGGGAAAGCGATAGGAAGAGATTGGCTGTTATATGATAAAAGATAAGAAAATGATGACATGCGACGTGTGTGTGAACTATCATGGGAAGTTTGTAGGTTCAAGCTTTAAGCTTAGAGGACAGAATTATTTCATTAAAGGATGCAATAACTAAGAAGTACTGACCATGAGCAGAGTAAATATCATGTGAAAGCTATGAAATTAAGGAAGGCAGCTACAAGCAGCCAACATGATATTGCTATGTCAAGGGCTGGCCGAGCTCTGCAAGCAATCAAGGCAGCTGACAGGCAGAAACTAGGTTATTTATTCAGAAATGCTCATGTCACTGCTAAACGTAGCAGACCGTTGACTGATTATACCTGGATCACACAACTGGACAAGGCCAAAGGCCTAGAAATAGGTGAAACCTACATTAATGACAAAGCTGGCATTATCAAATGCATTGCTGATTGTACGCGTCACGAAATGGATGAAAAAATAAACGATGCTAGCTTTTTCAGCTTTGAAATGTTAGATATGTCCACAAAGGAAAAGCAACAGAGATGTGAATGTGTTTTAATGTTTCAATATTTTTTTGGTCCAGTAACATATCATTCGGTCTGGTAAAAATCTATTTTTTACTGGACCGAATGTCCAGTAAAGGATTTTGTCTTTTGGTGAGGACTGCCCCGAAATTAAAATTTCCCCTTTTAGTTTAAATCTTACTCTGTTAGCAGACCTACCAAGTCTCCCGCATTTCGCGGGAGACTCACGCAGCTGGACCCATTCTCCCGCACTCCCACATGCCCTACGCATTCACGCAAAAGAAAAAAAAAGAAAAAAAGCAGCCCGTGACACCCCTGTTACCCACGTCTGTGGCTGCATATATGTACTTGCTGGCATTGAATCAATGATTGAAGTACGGGAGGGGGGGGGGCGAATGCACTGATTGTTACAGTCACGTGGGCATGCTTATTGCTGTATATATGTAAGGGTGGGCACCGCTGGTATGAGGAAGCAACAGCAAAACCTTCCAGGAATTGAGGAAAACGCTGCAATTGGGAATGACACACGAGTGTGCCAGCATGCAAAAAGAAACGTTGCTACAGGGTGGTCCACAACCTAAAATTCAAACATGTAAAACTGGGAACTTTAGAGGAGTAGGGCCTACTTTAGCCATTAAGCATAACATCACGAGCACGAAGCGTGAAGTCACTTGCAGCCGGGGTCCAGGGCCTGCCTTGGGGCCCTGGAAGCTCAGAGGTTTTAGATGCTCTCTGGTCCAATCTGAGCCTTATTTTGGAGCATTTTTTGCACAAAATTTATTACCTATATTTCAAAATAATTTGGGTTGAGTCAAGAGTCATGAGTGATGAGTCATTTTTCATTGTTCAATTTGTATACTAGTGTGAATGTAACGAGTAAAATGTTATAAAGCAATGTGCAAAAAATTCAAATAAATATACTATAAGGTGAAACTATATTGATAGAGTGTGGGTCGCATGCGAGCTGCGAGTTGTTAATTAAAAAATGGATGATCAAAACTTCTTCTTACCAAATTTACGGCAAAGATACCGCAACGAAAGTAAAACCTACAGCAATATGGTTTATAAACTGGCGAAAAGAAATGCTATTTGGGTCTTTGAAAGAATGGATTACTAGACTAAGACACTTAATGACCAGGACTGAAGCAGTTGTTCAAAAGTGGATAATTCAGTCGTATTCACTGGATAGTGATTTATCCAGTGGATAGCGCTATCCACTTTTGAACAACCAGGGCCAGCCTGTTTCGACCAGGCGTGTAGCCAGGGGGACCTCGAGCTCGCATGATTCCCTCCCCCCCTCAAATTCACTTCTGGATCCGTCACTGCATAATGGAAGTAGGCGAAATGGGAATATTGCAGATTCTGAGTAGGCGAAATGGGTGTAGGCGAAATGGGAGTAGGCCAACTGGGACGTTACCAGTTAAACATAGGTGACATTTCTTGCTGATCAAGCAGTCGACTCTAGGGCTTTGTGAGAGGTACAGTCAGCCGGCCCAAACAGCCAACCTATAGTATTTTAACCTTTTTCACGACAGGTAATTCACGGGCAAAATAGTTAAGCGTTGAGGTTTTTTAAAGTTAATAGTTATAGTCGACTTACTAACGCGAGTTGCAAATGATAAATATCTGGCAATGCTTACTATCCCAGAACCCCACTCGCAACTCGTAGGTTACCAACGCTGATATTGATATGAGGCTCAGGACAAGTGAAATTCTATATCGGACAACTTATTCGTTTGGCTAGTTGCCCGATTGGACAACTAAAAAATTTCTAGTTGTGTAATATTCCTAACATCCTTTGAACCAGGGCGCTATCGTACGACATTCCCACGTTATATTTTCAAAGGTCGCCGAAAAAAGCGGCTCGCGAGGCACGCGTCTGTAGCTGTACACATCGACGCTGCATACGTGCCTGCTGGCTGGGGGCGGCATTGATTGAAGTAGGGGGGTGCACGATTGTTTCAGTCGCGTGGTGCTAATCACTACTGAAATGTAGGGGGTGGGCACCGCTGGACTATGAGAGAGCGACAGCAAAACTTTCCTGGAATTGAGGAAAAATATGAAATCGGTAATGACACACAATGAACGTGCCGGTACAAAAAACAAACGTCTGAATTTCATGTTCGTGAGACAGTAAATATAACCTACAAGAAACAGTATAATACTGTTAGCAAAGAGCTTATAATGATAAGAGGTGACACTCGCCAGAAATAGTGTAATTGCCTCAACAGTGCTGCCGCACTGCGGCCGCGTTGATAGGCTATTTGCAGCGATCATGGCTGCTGCTAAGAAGACAAAGCAAGGCGGTGCTGCTTGTTCAGCGTACTTGTGTTATAATCGGCGCTACACCTCACCAGGATTATCGTTTTTTAGATTTCCCAAGGATCTTGAAAGGTTGTATTTAATTTAAATCGTATATTGGTATTAGCAGTGCAGTTTAACTATACGTATGTGACTGTAGACTGAGATGTACGCATGTGACTCACTGTACCTTTGACTGTACTATAGATTGACATGTATTGTACGTATGATGTGACTGTAGACTGCGATGTAAGCATGTGACTGTTGATTGACATGTACGTATGTGATTGTAGACTGAAATGCACGTATGTGACTGTAGATTAAGATGTACGTATGTGAATTGGGCGTAGGTGAGTGTAGATTGAGATGTATGTTACGTATGTGACTGTAGAATGCGATGTACGTATGTTGCTGTAGAACGAGATGTACTTATGTGACAGTAGTCAGTAGATTGAGATGTGTGACGTTAAACTGAGATGTACGGGACGTATGGCTTTACCCTTAGAGGCTCAATATTTACCAACACATATATATATGGAGGCGGATATTTACAAACAAGCTTGTTATTAATTCTTGGGCTTTGCATACTTTATTTGAACACGCAAGTGACTGTGCTGTCGGTAATAAGTGACGGATGAGAAGGCTGCGTACCTTACTCATGTGCATAACCTTTGGAATTACGTCTCTAAATTCTAATTCTAGTAAAGTGCAAGCATGAAACACTTCCTGGCTGGGGGGAAAAATCCCTCTCCAGCTGTGTCCCCATAGTTCTTCTGAACCATTAAAATATGGCATGTATCATGCTCACTGATGTTTCCGCGCAAAAATGATTGGCAAGTATTGCATACTTTCTCATGCAATTTCCTTGACACATACCCGGCAATATATACCATGATATTTGCTTTATGTATACTAATAATGTTCGTTGTCATTGATGGTGACATTGGTTGGGTTGTGTCACTGGGGACCTCATTGGTGACAGAGTGATCACTTCTGGACGAATCATGTGGGTGAGAGGTCAGGTGGAAAAGGAAAGAATCAACATCTTCCTTGCAGTTGCTATTATCACTAGTTAATAATACACTGTCTACCATAACTTGCCTTAGTGCTGTTCGAAACTGCATTGAATCAGGATTGTCCCTGTTAGCCCCCTTTCCGCGAATTACTGAAAACAAGTTTTCAACACAATCCTGGTTTAGCCTGCTTGTTAGTAAATAT